CGATATGGAACACCTCTTGTATTAATCTGCTAGTGCTGCAATAAAGTACCACAGACTGAGTGGCTTAAACAACAGAGACTTATTTTCTCATAGTTCTGGTGGCTAGAAGTTCAAGATCAAGATGTCAGCAGGGTTAACATCTTCTGAGGATTCTCTCTTTGGGTTGTAAATGGTTGTCTTCTCTCTGTATCTTCATATGATCTTCTCTCTCTATATTTTATCCTAATCTCGATTTATAAGGACATCAGTCATATTGGATTAGGGCTTACCCTAATGGCCTCATTTCCACTCTTTAAAGAGTCTATGTTCAAATATAGTCATATTTTGAAGTACTGAGACTAGACTTTGAATATATGTACATTTTCTGGAAGGTGGCAGAAGCACAATACAGTCCATAACATCTCCTAAAAATTTTTCACCTTCAAGCCAAGCTAATGGTTTCATCTGGCTACAAAATATGATGTTGTATGTGTGATTGGGTATTATAACTGACTTATAGGTTGCATGTTTCTAGAAATTTAAACATTTTTATAGGTTATTCAATTTGCTAGCATATTATAGTAATATCTCATGATTCTTATATTTCTGTAGTGTCTGTGTTGTCTCCTCCTTATTTTATTTGTTTTCTTTTGTTGTCGTTGTTGGTCTAGCTAAAGGTTTGTCTATTTTGTTTATCTTTTCAAAAAAAAGCTCTAAGTTTCCTTGATTTTTTTCTATTGTTTTTCTGGTCTCTATTTCAATTATTTTCACTCTGATCTTTATTATTTCCTTCCTTGTTTTTTATTTTGTTTTCTGCTTAATATATGTATTTACCACTATAAACTTCCCTCTAAGAACTGCTTTTATGGCATCCCATTGATTTTTGTGTGTTATGTTTCCATTTTCATTTGTTTTGAAATATTTTTTAATTTACCTTTTGATTTTTTTCTTTGACCCATTGGTTGTTTAAGAGCGTGTTGTTTCATTCTACATTTTTGTAATTTTTCAGCTTTCCTCTTGTTGATTTCTTTTCATATCATTGTGATTATAAAAGATACTTGTATTATTTCAGTCTCTTAAATTTGCTAAGGCCTGTTTTGTGTCCTATAATACATAGTAGCCTGGAGAATATTTCATGTGCACTTGAAAAGAATGTGTATTCTGGTCCTATTGGATGGAATGCTCTATAAGTGTCTCTTAGGTTCATTTGATTTAAAGTATAGTTCAAATCCAATATTTCCTTGATGATTTCTTTCTATCTATTGCTGAAAGTGGGATATTGAATTCTCCATGCCATTATTATCTATTTTTCTCTTTAGATCTGTTAGTATTTGCTTAATATATATAGGTGCTCCTGTACTGGGGTGTGTATATATTTACAATTATTATATTTTCTTGTTGAGTTGATCCCTTTATCATTATAGTCATGCACCGCATAACAAAACAACATTTTGGTCAATGACAAACTACATATATGATGGCGGTCTGAAAGTATCATAAAAAATTATAAACAAAAGATTTGTTTACAATTTTGAAAAAAACACTGGATCCAACTAAGATGTTGAATTTACTGCTATGTGTGGGTAGTTTAAATAGATGAGGAGCCTCAGCATGCTGTTTTCTCACCCTGTACCCACTTGTAACTGGGACACAAATTTGGTCTAGGGAGTGAGGGAAAAGGGCTAGGAAGGAGGAAAGCTCAGAAGCCAACCCCACTGCCAGCCCATAGCCACACCTGCCCCTGAACCCACATGTACATGTACATACTCTCTTGTGTACAAATTCACTTCCTTCAGTATCTCTTCCTTCTCAGTTCTTTTCTTCTCTTTACCAACTCCCTTTTTGCTCTTTGTCTCCTCTCTCTCCTCTCTCTCTTCCTTTTATTATTTCTCATCTCAAGGTTTATCTCTCTGGGTCTCTTTCTATCTCATGCTCTCTCTCTCCTTCTCTTTCTTCCCTCTCTCCCTTCCTTCCTCCTGATGTCTACTCTCCCTTCAATGGTATCTACCTCTACAGCTCTCCCCATCCCTGCAATGCACACACACACACACACACACACATCTTCTATACTATATTTTTACTGTATCTTTTCTATGTTTAGATAAGTTTAGATAGACAAACACTTGCCATTGTGTTACAATTGCCTATAGTATTCAGTTTAGTAACATGCTGTGCAAATTTGTAGCCTAAGAGCAGCAGGATATATCATATAGCCTATGTGTGTAGTAGGCTATACTATCTAAGTTTGTTTAAGTGCATTCTGTAATGTTTACATAATGATGAAATTGTCTAAGGACACAACTCTTGTTGTTCAGTGGTGCATGGCTGTATAATGACCCTTTTTGTCTCATTATTGTTTTTGGTTTAAAGTCTATCTTGTCTTATATTAGTATAGATACCTCTGCTTTCTTTTGGTTTCTATTTTAATTGCATGTTTTTTTTTTCTATCCTTTTGATCTGAGTCTATGTGGGTCCTTAAAGCAAAAGTTAGTGTCTTATAGGCAGCATACAGTGGGTCTGTTATTTTTTTAAAAAATCCATTCAGCCACTCTGTGCCTTTTGATTAAATAATTCAATTAATTTACATATAGAGTAAGTACTCATATGTAAGAACTTACTAATGCCATTTTATTAACTGCTTGCTGGCTGTTTTGTAGTTCCGTTGATCCTTTTATTCCTCTTTTTCTGCCTACCTTTATGAATTGGCGATTTTCTATGGTGGTATGCTCTAATTTGCTACTCTTTATTTTTTGTGAATCTACTGGGGTTTTTCACTTTGTAGTTATCATGAGGCTTACATAAAACATTTTATAGATAAAATAGTCCATTTTATGCCAACAGTAACTTAACTTAGATTATGTACAAAAACTCAACCCTTTACACCCCACTTTTATGTTTTTAATTTCACAATTTACCTTTTATATTTTGTATTTGTTAAGTAATGATTGTAGCTATAATTAATTTTAATACTCTTTTCCTTTAACTTTTATAATATAGTTAAATGGTTAACACACCATCATATTACAGAATTAGTGTTTTCTGAATCCGATTACATATTTCCTTTACCAGTGTGTTGTATACTTTAGTATGTTTTCTTGTGACTAAGTAGCATCTTTTCATTTCAGCTTTAAAAAACTCCTTCCAGTATTTCTTGTGAGGCAGGTCTAGTTTTGACTAATTCCCCTAGATTTTGTTTGAAGTTTTATTTTTCCTTTTTAAAAAAAAATTTTATTTTTCCTTTTTAAAAAAAATTTTATTTTTCAATTAGAATTGACATTCAATATTATTTTATGTGTGAGAAAGTCTTTATTTTTCCATTTATGAAGAATAATTTTGTCATGTAGATTATTCTTGGTTGGCATTTATTTTTCTTTCAGCACTTTTTTCTTTCATTTCCCTCTCTCTCAGGCTGTTAGGTGTCCATTGAAAAATCTGCTGATCACTAAATGGGGGTCCCATGTAGGTTAGAATATTTTCTGTTTGCCTCTTACTGCTTTTAGGATTCTCTGCATTTTTGATTTTGGCAGTTCTATTATAATGTGTTTTAGAGAAGATCATTTTGAATTTAACTAGGAGCGATTTATTATCTTCATGAACCAGGATGTCCAAATTTATCCTCAGGTTTGGGAAGTTCTCAGCCATTACAGTAGTCCACTCCCACCTTTTATCTGAGAGAGGTATGTTCCAAGACCTCCCAGGGGATGACTGAAAACACAGATAGTACTGAACCTTATATATACTACTTTTTTCCTATACTTATATAACAATGATCAAGTTTAATTTATAAATTAGGCAGAGTAAGATATTAACAATAATAAATAATAATAAAATAGAACAATTATAATAATATACTATAATAAAAGTTATGTGAATGAGCTCTCTGTGTCTCTGTCTCTATCTCTGTCTCTGTGTCTGTCTCTCTCTCTTTCATAACCGATCTGATAACTGAGAAGGCTATAAGTGACTAGCAGGTGGGTAATGTATACAGTATGAGTATGCTGGACAAGGGGATGATTCACATCCTGGGCATGACAAAGAGGGACGACACAAGATTTCATCAAGTTACTCAGAACAGTATGTAATTTAAAACATATATTGTTTATTACTAAAATTTTTCATTCTATTTTCAGAATGTGGTTAATCGTGGGTGACTGAAACTGGAAAGTGAAATTGTAGATGAGGGGGGACTACTGTATTTCTTTACATAAGCTTTCTGCCCTCTTCTCCCACTCTTCTCCTTCTGGAACTCTAATGATTTTGAGATTGCTTCTTTTGATGGTTTCCCATAGATCGCATAGGCTTCTTTGCTTCTTTTCATTTTTTTTTGTTGTTGTTTTCTTCTAAGACTAGTGTATTTTAAAGTTCCTTTCATGTGACTCACTGCTCTCGACTTCTGTTTGTCTATTTTGATGTTGATGCTATTGCATTCTTTGTTTATTTATGGAATTCTTTAGCGCCAGGATTTCTCTCTTTTTTGTGTAATTTCTATTTTTTTGTTAAATTTCTCATTTCATTCATATATTGTTTTCCTGACTTTGCTGAATTGTCCTTCTGTGTTTTCTTGTAGCTCATTGAGTTTCCTCAAAACAACTATTTTGAATTTTTTATCTGGTACATCACACATCTCTGTGTCTTTGGGTTTGGCTAGTAGAGGATTACTATGATCTTTTGCTGATATCATTTTTCCTTGAATAGTCTTCCTTGGAGTTTTGTGTTACTATCTTCACATTTGAAGTAACAGTCACCTCCTTCAGTCTTTACCAGTTGCCTTCAGGTAAGACATAGTTTTTGTTTGTTTTGATTATGTTCTGAAGCTGTTTCCAGCCTTGTATGGATACATCTGCTCCACACTTCTTGCTCTCTCTTTTGGCAGAATTGGATGCCTTTTCTTACAACACACCAGGCAAACTGTTGATAACCTCTTTTTTTTTGTTTCTTGAACATGGTGCTATTGCTCAAAATTGTGGTTTCTCCCTTGCTTTCAGACCTTGGCTTTTTTTTTTTTTTTTTGCACATTCTCCCTGTCTAGCCAAGCTTGCTTGTGTCACTACCCTCAGGGGTACACATTAGGTGCCAGCTGCAGAGTGGGGGAAGTTTGGCAGTTGGGATACTGGGGGGTACCCACAGGTCAGAGGTCAGTTGGGAGGATCCTCAGGAGAAGCTTTCCCAGCAGCATTTGGGCATGCCTTCTGCTGGAATCTGGAATGCAATCAGCAGGTTCTGTGTCCCTTTAGTACCCTTCGATATCCTTCTCTGTCTCTTTCCCAATCGCATCCTTCCCCTGAGTCATAGAACTCTTGCTTGAATACAACAGGAGCTTCAGGAGAGAGGCTTTCTTTAGCAGCATCTCATACAGCTGGAGAAGTTAAGTACTCACTGATCTCTGTTTTCCACCTTGGGGGAGAGTTGATGCTCACAAAGTTCCTCTCACCCAGTCCAATGCATTCAAACTTATTAACTTTTTTTTTTTTTGTCCTATGGAATGCTGAAACTTCTCTAGAAACAGGAAGTTCTATGAAAATTCTCTTGTCCATGGGTAAATGCCCAAGTCAGTGTTTTTCAGATACCATAGCCAGAAGGGTTTGGAAGTGGTTCATAAGCTCCAGCCAGTTCCACAGTCATACTGGGGTCTGCCTACCTATACCTGATGGACAGGTGAGTGAGACTCTTCCCGAGTCCCCTGGTGTGGTGGTAGATACCACAGCACCCATAGAGATATCTTTGTTTATGGATGGATGCCAAATTTTAGATGTTATAGAGGAGAAAAAATAAAGGACATCTTATGACACTATGATGCCGATGTTGTTGTGTAACTTTTATAATTTAAATTAATGTTCTTAATTTTGTATTTGTCTGCTGATCAAAAATATATGAAATTTGTACCTTTGTCAATTTTACTTTGTGATATTTCTAAAATAGTTTTCTTTCTTAAGGTAATATTAATTTAAATTGTGATTTAGCCTTAGTTCGATACTTCTTCATACATGGTGTGATATTAGTTATACACTACTTAGTTTAAATTTCAGTGTTAAATACAATCATTAGTTCTAGTGATAAAGTTATAGCTCCATTCATTTTATACAATGTCTTCACTTTTCTTGAGATTCTTAGTTTCAACTATCCATTAGTTGGCTGGATTTCTTCAAGTAATTTATTTTCAGAAAGGGATACGATGTATCTAATAGCTCCTACCGTTAAATTTTGATAATACATTTGCATGACCATGGGTGTAAGAACTCGGCTTACTCATTGTTTTCCTCAGACTGTGTAGACATTATTCTTTTATTTTCAGCAATTGGTGTGACTGTGACAAAGTCTAAGATAGGATTTATATTCTCCATTGTAAACAATATACTTTTATTTTCTACTGGAAACTAACAAACTTCACCAGGATGTGCTTTACTTTTGTTTTTAATGGTCATATTTAGTTGTCCTCTTCTTTTAGTACCTTTTCTTCTATTAATGCTTAACTTTTTACTATTTACTATCTAGTCTTCAGTAATATGACTTTTGTGCATGTAAGTTCTCATTCTTTCTTTCTTAACAATCGCCATTTTAATTGCTTTGACTTGCTTAGCAGAGTCCATTTTACATTGTGATATTTCTAAAACAGTTTTCTTTCTTAAGAATATCAGACAACATTCCTTTCTTTCTGATAAGAATATCAGAAGTGGTTTTCACCTTCCTTTTCTGTGCTGAGTGCTACCAGCATTTTTCATCTCCTACTATGTTTTATTCTTTTAATTTCCTTTGTTATAGTTCTTTCTCAGTCTAAGTTGTCCATAATTTCTCGAAGCATGAAGTATTTATATAAAATGATCTATTTCTCCTGAAACATTTATTCTAATACAAATTCTTCAACTGCTTTTGGATCTTTTTCACCCTAATTTTGGTGGGAATGACAGTAAAACAGTGTAAGGAGAGCATCTATGCATAAGTCCCTTGTAAGTTACTTCTGGACATTACTTATTGTGTATGAGAACAGCTTTCCAAGCTAGTCATTTATTCAAACATAGTTTTGGAAGGGAAAGTTATAGTAATATAGACAAGCCAGGAATTTTCAATCTTTTTACTAGGCGTAATATGATATTGTTGAAGGATTTTAAGAAAGAAGTAAACTATATATGCACACATTAAGAAGAATGCAAGTAGAATTTGTGTAAAATATGAAAGGAGATATTATATAAATATGATAACATTTTCAAACAACTGATAAGGAGAAAAATCTATCATCTGCCTCTAAACACCTATGCAGAACTCCTTAATGTCAGCTGATTTTCAGAAAAGACTTTTCTGATGTATTCAATCAGTCTCCACCTCCTGTAACTTCCATCAGGACATGCACAATTCATCAGAACAAACAGAAAAAGGTCAAAACACATAAATCTCTTCACAATAAGCGTTTTTCTAACAGACCCGTTTTTCTAACAGATCCCCACTGAGATACTCTTAAGCATCCTAGAAGTCCTGTTGTTTGGTTGAGAAAAACCAAACTATAGCTTTAAAACTTTGAAGGGACTTTATTTAGTGTGACTATACTACGCTAGACATCAATTTTAATTTTTCTGAAATCTAAAAATAAGTTTACAGTAATACCCTAGGCTTTATCTTTAGACCACAGTATTCCTGGAATTATCCTTGGTTTGGCATATGGGCACAAACCATTTATTAACGTTATCATCATTTGCCATCTGGAGAGCCTAGGCATTTTAAAATTAATGAAGTCTTGGTTCCATTTGATTTAAAACATTCTTTCCTCAAGTTTTCTCTCCTTCACATTTCAAAACATAAAGAAAAAACCAGGCCATACTGTCAACACTTTGCTTAGAAATCCCCTAGCTAGATCAGCCTATTTAATTAGGGAGATTTTCTGCTTTCCACATAACTGCAGATAACAGAATTGCTAAATTTTCTGATAGTGTTTAACAAAGATCTTTCCTCCAGTTTCCAATAACAGGTTCTTTACTTGATTTTAAGCCCTCACTAAATCACCCACAAAGTCCAGATTTCTACTAAAAATTTGTTTCAAAGGAATTTGGGCATTCTGTAACATACTTCTCAAAATCCTTCCAGTCTCTGCTTATTCTCTGTTCCAAAACTACTCTCACATTTTCGATATTTGTTATGGCAACACATTGTGCTCCATACTAAAAGATGTTATTAATTATCAAGCTCCTTACAAAATGACCTCAGCCACAGAATAAAAAAACAAAACAAACACTTATTATCTCAGTTCCCATAGCTCAGGAATTTAAGCACAGAGTAGTTGGGTGCCTCTGATTTGGGGCTTTTTACAGTCTGCAATCAAGGTTGACCAGGGTCAGTGATCTCAAGGTTGACTAGAAGAGGATCCACTGCCAAGTTCATGCAAAGGAAGTTGGCAGGCCTCAGATGGCTAGACACAACAATTCCCTTCTAGTGAGACACTCCATATGGCTATTCACAACATGGCAGCTTACCTCCCCTAGGGTAAAGGCTTTTAGAGTGTTATGGGTTGAATAGTGTCCCCAAAGAAAATATGTTGAAATCTTAACCTCAGTACCTCAGAATATGATCTCATTCAGGCATGGGGCCCTTGTAGGTATAATTAATTAAAGTGAGGTCATATGGGAGTAGGTGGGCCCTTAATTGAAAATGACTGGGTGTCCTTATAAAAAGAGAGAAATTTGGACACACTCAATAACAGTAGGAAGAATGCCTTCTGATGACGGAAGCAGAGTTTAGAATTATGCAGATACAGACTGAGGAATGCCAAAGATTCCCAACGACACCAGAAGCTAAGAGAGTCATGGAACAGATTCTCCTAATAGAGTGTGATCTTCCTCACAGCTTGATTTCAGAATTTTAGCCTCCGGAACTGTGAAAAAATTAATTTCTGTTGTTTTAAGTCACCCAGTTTGTGGTAATTTTTTACAGCAGCCCTAGGAAACAAAAAGGGAGAGAGAAAGAGAGAGGAGGAAGAGAGAGAGAGAGAGAGAAGACGCAATCTCTTTTAATCTAAATACTGACACACATCTTTTTTGTCTAGTGTCAAAGGGAAAAGATTACGTGATGATGTGAATACCAGAATTCCAGGAGGCTGGCATGACTCCAGACCATCTTAGAGGGTACGTATCTATATGTCCCATTAGATTGTTAAGAATAGGAATTAGTTCATTCTACTATATATTCACTATAGCCTAAAACTGTGATTGGCACATATACTATATTCACAATTATGTTTTGATATTCACTAATTAAACACAATGGAATTTGCAAAATTAAATATTATCTACTTTTATAATCAGAATAATCTTCAACACTGACCTAAAAACATCCGTTATCAGTCAGAACAGTTTAAACTATGCTGTGACTCTGGTTTCTCAGTCTTTAAAAGTCATATTAAATTTAGACATTTTCACATATTGTAAGTCATACTCATTATGCCCTCAATATAAACACGGGTAAAATTTCCTCATAGATCTTGAAACCACATTAGATGTTTTTGCACTTGAAAAATAGTTCGTGTTGTCTTGGTTTAACTCTTTTCACATATTGTAAGTCATACTCGTTATGCCCTCAATATAAACACGGGTAAAATTTCCTCATAGATCTTGAAACCACATTAGATGTTTTTGCACTTGAAAAATAGTTTGTGTTGTCTTGGTTTAACTCTTTGATAAATGAGCAATATAAACCTTTCAATTGTGAAATCTAGCAGCAATTAATAACTTCCAAATTCCTAGATATTTTTTCTCATGCTTCAAGTCAATTAAGAGTTAACTAGTGATTCTGCTTTGCATTTACCTCCCTTCAGGAACCAGAGGTACAGAGAAGGTACCACTGGGAATGCTGCCATCTACGATAATAAGGGGGAGAGGGGAAGTATGTGGCAAATTACACTTTAGTTTAAAACTCCCAATAATAATATGTATTATACACATTCATCGACTAAAACAAGTCATATGGCCATGCCTGAGCTCAGGGAGGCAGAAAAGTATAATCTTATTATGTTCCCGGAAAGAAGAAAACCAGAATATATTTATAATTAGCATTAACACTGCTAACACTCCCATAGAGCATTCCAGAATCCAGAGTAATATAATCCTTAATACTTCAGAATGTATGTTTAATGATGTTATTTTTTTAAACCACATAAATAATATAGTCCATACAGTATCTGTAAAACAAATAAGGAGAAATGGATACTTATCCACATTGTTTGTCTTTGAGCTTGAAGGTCTGAAAACCTTTAAGACTCTTGACATCTTGCCAGTTGCTTTCTAGAAAGGTTGTGTCAATTAAATTTCATGCCAATTATGTAGAAAAGTGCCATTTCTCATCTACCCTTAACACCCCCAAGTATTTCCTTTCTTATTTTCTTATATTTGCTGATAGGTAAAATTGTATTTACTTATTTTTATATTTTATTCTAATCATGTAGTCCTTTTGTTGTTGTTGATGTTCCAGGACAAATTCATATTTATACTTTAACCTGTGTGTACTAAGCCAGCCCAGTGCAAAGCTTTGGAGCCAGACTTAGAAACTTGCACTTGAATCCTAGCTTTAGCTTAATAGTTTTAACATATTGGGGCCTCTAACTGTCAGTTTGTAAAAACTTTAGGATCACGGATTGCACAGATTCAAGTCCTACCTTTCCATTTTTCTTATGTTGTTGCCTTGGACAGGATTTATAATCTGTCAAACCTGTTTCTTAATCAGTGAAATCTGGAAATAATGGTGCTTTATGGAGATGGGAAATTTGTGTAATGGGTTTAAGAGAGCTTTTGGCTGGTGGTAGGCTCACACCAAAGTAGGCTCAATATTTAGACAATCACTGTACAAATAAAACAAATTACAGGTACAAAGTATATATGTCATCCTTTATTCATTCAAAAAAAGTCATTGAAAACAGTTTTATTATTTAAGTAATTTATGAAGTAGTTGAGGTAAGGCATTATTCTACATTATTACAGATTTTTACCTGGAGGGGTTCTTTCTTTCAGTTTTATACAAAAAGCACTAAACTTTATCACTGGCATGGGGGCTAAAAAAATACTTTTCTTCCCACTTTCTAAATTCTTCTACCTTAGCTAATAATCAAATTAAAAGACAGATTAACAGGAGAAAATAAAAATTTAAATACATGCACAGAGGAAATTTATATAACAATGAAAATTCCAAAGACAGTGAGGCAACGCTGGGTATATATGACATTTTGAACAAAGGAGAAAAGTAGGGGAAAAAGGTATTAGATTTTAGAAGTGAGAATGGGCGATTTACAGGTAGTTAAGTAAGAGTAGGACAAACATAGCAGGAAAATTCTTGCTAGGCGAGTCAGAAGCAATGGGACGTGGTGGGGGTGTGTGTTCCTAGCTAAACACATCCCTGCATGAAGCCCTCCTATTTACCATCCTTAATTCAAATTAGGCTAAGGTAAACACACTAAGATCTTCTTTCTGAAGCAGATTATTCTATCTGAATCTCTTGGGCAGGAAATGGGGGTGGGATGTAGTGTCAAAGTTTCTTTCTGAGCTTTTAAAAATACTCCAAAAAGTATAACCACACACAAACTTCATTTCTTTAAGATAGCTTTTTCTCTTTGTCACGACTTTGCTTAGTGTAATGGCATTGTGACTCGCTTGCTTTTTCCACCCTTATCCTTCCACCTTTGTATGCCTACCCCCTTAATCATTGAGCTTTACGAAATAAAGTTCTGGCCAGTGTCAAATCTTTTAAGGATAAAGCCTCAGGTCTATGATCATGAAGACAATAAATTTTGGTTAAACTAAGGATAACATCTTGGCTTTAGGTGTGTTTCAGCCTCAGACCCATTGAGTAGGAACAGCTGAACCAACCACAGGACCAGATGGGATAGCACTATGGCTGATCCTAGACCTAGACATGATGAGCAATTATCCGTTCAATCAGTTGTGTCCATGACCCCAACTCCCTTTGTTTCTATGACTAAGGCGTTTTCTCCTATATAATCAATCCTGTTGAGACACTCTGGAAGCCAGGTTTTCGAGAGTAATAGCTTGCCTGTGTCTCCAGGACTTGCAGCTCTCTAAATAAACTCTTACTCTCTTTGCTGCAAACCCAGTACCTATCTCTTTGGCTTCGACACACACAGGCAGACAAACGACTTTTCTCCAGTAATGAAAGGCAGCTTCAGAGTGGCAAAAGTTTGGTTCCCGTTACAGAATATAAGGCCTGATCCAAGCAGTCAACAACTTGATTTTTGTCAGTATGACATGGATGTAGGTAGTTATGTGGACATATTATCTTGGCCACTAAAACTCTTACTTTCTCCTGTGACCTGCTTCCTGGAGACATCATCCCATGAACACTATTCCATGAACTAATTCTCTCCACCTGCTCTTAAAATGAATTTCTCTTTATCTACCTCCCAGATACACCAGAGGCAGGAGGGATGCACCATCCCTCCTAACTTAACTCATTGAGGGTTCTGCTCCTCGATTACAATGTGGGGTGGAGAGTTTCTCACACCATCAAGAAATTTTCCAACACCAGCTGCATGTCCTACAATTCAGCTCAATCTTGACACTATCTATGTGGAGATAGCCTTGGATTCCACAGATTAAGGGCTCAATGTTACAAGATTGCTTTCCTGCCCCCCATTTCAGATGCCAGTCACAAGTTCAGGTTGTCATCTGTGTTTCTGACCCACCGGCTACAGGTTGGAGGTTCCAACTGTTAGGTAGTTGGGCAGACATGAGCAATGGGGAAACAAAGGAACAAAGGTTCAACCCAGAGACCCCCCAAAGACCTCCTCGAAACACCCAGTTTATAGTTATAAATCACTCCTGCATTTTGAGGGAAAAAAAGTAAAAAAGGCCAGAAAATAACTAGTTTAATGTGGCCAAAAACACTTGCGCAGTGAGGACTACTCTAACCTTTCCACCTCATCTTCACTATACCATCATTATAATATCATGCCTATGCTCAGAAGTTCATGAACCTAATTATAACAGACTGAATCTGGGTAACTGCATGCACAGTAGGCAGAGTTACATAACAACCAAATGTCAATCAAAATGACCTCACATGTCAATCATCTAAGACAACCTTTGTAACCTCCTGTCACAGACCTAATGTAATACAGACCTTCCCACTTCTGTGGAGTTACAACCTTTTTGCTGAAATCCACCCCTCCCTTGGAGTGTACTCTATCTTTTGTCTTTTTACCTCTCAAATTCCATGGGGCTGAAGACTCTTTGGCATGGCCCATCTCTTTCTAAAAATGTATTATCAATAAATCTTGCTTTTAAAACCTCACTGACCTGTAATTCTTTACTGAGTCAGCAGGGAAGAACCAGGGACGCCCCAGTGTTACCAGGGCAATGCCGGATTTTAGATTGCTCCAATGGTAACACAGCTATCCCTCTTCATGTTTCATTAATTTGCTAGACTAGCTCAAAGAACTCAGATAAACATTTACTTACTGCATTATCGATTTGTTACAAAAGGCTATCATGCAGAAACAGCCGGATGGAGGAGATATATAGGAAAAAATACAGGAAAAATACACAGATGTTCCGTGCTCATTTAGTCATTAGTAACTATCTAGTTCATCATATCATATGAAAATGTCTCCCATGGTGAAACTACTCAGGTTTACAGGTTTCCATTTGGTCTTGTCAGATTCCAAAAGCAGGAGCAGTGTAGCAATATATGGTTTCACTATCTCAATTCACTATTTCAAGCATCTGATATAACTGAGTTAAGAGACAGTATCCTCTCTTGCTCTGAGCATCTTTTAAGGTGTTAGTGTAATATTCAGTTTCCCTCATTACATAACCTATTTAGTCATTCTTTTACCCATAGCTACCATTTTTCCTTATCTTCATTTATATCCAAACTTTTCCACTTTGGAAGGGACATTAGGCTTGGCCACTGTTTTGGTCTAGATTTCAGGCAGCAACACTGGTCTAGCAAAGACCTCCCTTTCAATCTACTTCTGCTCAGATAAGGTAAAGTACATGGATGCAGATCTAGTGGGCTATCTTTACCACCAGGCAATATGGCTGCATTCCCAGTTAATTCCAATATTGCCAGATTGGGGAAAGGTCTCATCAGGTCTTTAGAAATTCTGACATAAAGGTTA